ATCTCTTTACAGGATTTAGAATGTCATGTTCACGTATCCCCTATATTAAAAAATAATGTGATTTCAACTTCTGAAAATGAAGATGAAATCTAGAAATCTACACCACTGTACCCAAATCTTAGTTTCCTCCATCTTGGTTTCATAGCAATCATCTGGCCTTTTCTGTCATCTAACACGGTAAGTCGAGGACGAGAAACAGAAGCAAAATGTATTGCCCCCCTCCTTCCAGTGCAATGTGTGTTCTATCTGGTCCTGTACAGAACTAGATTGTTGCTTAATCTTTTATACATTTTTAAAAGAAATCATAGAGCAATATGAAAAAGGTCAAACAATGTATAGGTGATTTTCAAAGTTTTAATTAATTAATTATGTAATTTTCAGAAAAGTGTTGGTTTAATTTCAATCCGAAAGCAAGCCTAACATTTATATTAGAAATATTTGCCTTTCTGTCTGGATATTTTACTCCTGGTTACTTAACATATTAAACTATACAATTTAGTTCACTTTCTATATAATTTAGTAAAAGCCCACAAAAGTGCAAACCAATGAAAGTGAAATCTCTGTAAATAGATAAAAGTAGGCCACACATTATCATGTAAGTTGGGATTTTGATATGATGTGATTTCTTGTGATTTATGCATCAATATTACAGGTCTAATTAATGTCTATACAATGTTCCCTAGAAATTGATTACTCATGCTCTGTTTCTTTTTTACATCGTTTCTGTAGCAAGTTCCAAATAGCATTATGTACCTTTCATGTATGAAAGGGGTGATGATACAGTTTTGCTGTGCACAGTTAATAAATATTTATAACAAAGTTGAGATTTTGTTAAAGGGAGAAGATATAATTCTTAAATTTCCTAAATTATATATTCATAATTACAAAACAGAATAAAAAAAACTGTAGAAAATGTGTTATTAAGAATATGGTTTTTTTAGATATATAATTTTTTTGTCTATTCTTTCTTTAGCAATGACAATATACAAATATAATCTTCAATTAAACATTAATCTTATAATCATCATAGAAATGTCTTAGTTTTTCTATTTCACTGACCTCCATGAATGTAGACATTCAACCACAAAATATCACCACTGTTAGGCAGGAAGATCGGAAAAGGACAATATTTGCTTTCTGTCATTAATGAAATCTTGACTTTTCCTTCACTTTGTTAAAAAAAATATTTAATCGGTTTTCTTTTAAACAAAAATGCTTATATTAAGCTGGCATAAAGCTACACATCTTAGATTTTACATGTTAATGTGGTTTAAAATAAAACACTTTAAAAAGTAATTTGCCAATCTATGATATTCTGGCTAAGAAGATTTTAATATCCATAGCTCCTTGGATAGAGTGACCTCAGAGTATCAAATAATATTACCAGCTAAAATCATTACTTAAGATCATATATACTGCCAAATATAGGCGTGCGCACGGGGTGTGCCTACATAAGGTAAGAAGGGAGGGGGGATCTTTATTAACTAATCTGCCCCCATATCCACCCCCACAAATCACCCAAACAGCACACACACACACATACAGCACACACACACATACAGCACAAACACACACACACACAGCACACACACATAGAGCACACACACAAACAGCACCCTCACACACAGTACATTAACAGCACCCTCACAAGCGCACACACACACAAACATCCACATAGCACACTACCAGCACCCTCACACAGCACACACACACACATCAGTGTAGATATACATACATATATATATATATATATATATATATATATATATATATATATATATATATATATATATATATATATATATATATATAAAAAAATCCAAATATCCCCTGCACTCACGCTTACAATAAGGTCCAAGACCGGGCGCACCACCAGAGCTCCAAGGCATGTAGTAGACAATCAACAAGGAAGGCTGCTCTCCGGATTTAAAACAAGAAAATTTATTCAAACATATTTAAAAAACTACGACCAACGTTTCGGTCCCCGCTCGGGACCTTCCTCAGGGTCAAAAAACAGAACAACAGAACTGTTCTGTTGTTCTGTTTTTTGACCCTGAGGAAGGTCACGAGCGGGGACCGAAACGTTGGTCGTAGTTTTTTAAATATGTTTGAATAAATTTTCTTGTTTTAAATCCGGAGAGCAGCCTTCCTTGTTGATTGTCTACTATATATATATATATATATATGTGTGTGTATATATATATATATATATACATACATATACGCGGCGTGTGCTTGTGCTTTAGGGTGCACACCCTAATGCAATAGGCTGCTCACACCTATGCTGCCAAAATAAAAATCATAAAACATAATACATAAATGAAATTAACAAAATAGTATCAATGAATGATAAACTTATTTATGAATTGAGGTATTGTTTTTATAAGTATGCATATATCTATCCAAACATCTATTTTGGCTTATTCAAGATATCTGAATGCATTGCTCACTTGGTTTAGATTTCTTTGCATGTTGAAATATTGAACAGACCTTCACTTATAACATATGAATTCTTATAAATATCCAATAAAATAACATGACATTGTTATGGAAATTAATTTTTCTTTTTATAGATCAGTCATCACTTTCTGGCCAAAATTCCCAAAATTCAGAATCAAATTAAAAGATTTGTTAGCAGCATTTATATTTTATTTTGTCCAATATTTAAACAAATCCGCTCTTCCTCTACCTTGTTGAAGGCTGTTCTATAATTCAACGTGACTTCTGATAACCATCTGTCTCATAGAATTGGCTTGTCAATTCTGAAACCTGAAAATCAGCCAAGCCCGTAACAGGAAATTGTTGCCACTAATGGATTATCTAATGGATCGTGAATTATTATATGAAATAATTGAATAACTCACGGAGATACATAAAAAGGTCCAAAAATAATGAGAGCTGAGCCTACTCTGACCAAGAAGGCAAGAAGTAAGGGTGTGCGTAAAGTTACCCTCTTAGAATTTTCAAGAATGGGAAAAATGTTTCCACCCAATTCTGTGAAAGAAATTCAAGACTTATGTCTCGGGAACTACTCTCCTGCATACAAATTGAGGCAGCTGGTGATTTGTGACATATATGGATTATAGTTTATGCTTCGTGCAAGTGATAGGTGATCTAATTTGTTTTAACGATGCTTTAATTTGTAACATCAAGAAATCTGGCAGTCTGTAAACTCAATCTATAGTAGGAAATACCAAAATTATTTTGAAGTTTAATAAATGTCATGTTTAATAATAAAACTGTATATATACAAAAGGACACAACCATAACAAATTTTCCAACCAAATAATATAAAGGCTTGTTACTGTTTTATATCTGCAATTAGTTCAAGTTTTATATTGAACTTGATTTTAAATCTCTGAATATAAGGTGGCCTTATTTCCATAAGATATGAAATGTATCTGGAATGTACTTTCCATTCCTTACAATGTTAGTGAATAGTCCCAGTCTGAGTTTGGGACCAAATCAAATCAGCTGACTGAACCAAGAACAATGTGTTCTTCATAACTTAGTGGCCTACTGAATTGTTACCTCAGTAAAACCGTAGCTGTAATAATAAACATATATTATTTTAAGAGCATTAACTCTGATGAAACTAAGAACATATTTAAATCAATTATTTACTTATATTGGTAGTTAAGCAAAAAAACTACAGATTTTTACATACATTTATATAAAGATATGTGCAAAAATATGCAAAATAAATTTTGAACAACACAGCAATATTTAACCATAAAAATATTGAAAACATTTAATTTGTTTTCTACTCAACATTAATTTTTTTTTTCCTCCTTTGTAAAACTTTACCTGTTTACTGGCCACCTTTCACATGCAGCATATTGTGGCTAAGTGGCAAATAGATAGCAAATCTATTTTGGAGGTATAGAAATAATTGCCATCTGTCGCTATCCTAACCAGTTATTGCATCTTGCTTTCTAATAGCAGAGGTGCTGTGCCAATTAGTGTGAAGGCTACACTCACGAGGAGACATTTAAGAGGATGATGAAAAAATGAACTACTACAGAGTTTATTACTTTGACACAATTCACTGTTTAGTAAACAACTATCTTGCAAAAACAGCATATATTAAACAAACACCCAAACCTCAAACTATACGTTTGCTTATATTTTGCAAGTCTACTGTCATTTCACCAAAATTCATTGTATTGGAAATATTCCTATATATTGTGAATGACAAACATAACTGTTTTTGTAGCATTATTGTTAGTTATTCAATCTATACAAACAACAAAATCAATATAAATGCTATGTAACATGGAATAATTGTAGCAGTTTTCTGTGTTTTATCTATTTAAATGGGAACTGTCACTTGACAGGACTTTTAATATTCTGTTTTCTTATCCCTGACATTTACCAAGTTTACTTTGTGAGGTCTGAAAAAAAAAATGAAATATAGAAAGCTGAACATCTAACATGAAACTGGTCGTCTGATCCCAATAAAACCTGCAGCAATCTTAGTCTTATTGTGCTGCATATGAGCCACCGGGAGTTCCCTGGAACTGAGCTCACCGACATTGTGTAATCAATCCTGCATGGCCTGAAATAAGTATCAACCCAAATTTATGGGTATCAAAGCTTTATTAGCATTTATTAGATGTCATAGTAAAATAGTAAAAATTATTTTTAAAGAACAGACAGTGGGGGTATAAGAGAGTAAGAATGCAACGGCCAGTGTGAGGTCCAGTGTTCCATAGAGGACATTTTTAACACACCTGAACACCTGTTTTTTTGTCCTCTAAACCAACTGTATCATTATTAATTATAAAGTCTGATAAAATATTATTTTCATAGACAACATGGTTTACGAACATTATAACAGAATACTATTTTGAAAGGTTTCTCTAATTGGTATATTGAGTTGCATTTTGCATGCCTTACTGCACTGCACTAAACATTTGTTGTATGGTTCACATGCAATAACTGCGCATTCATAAATGCAAATGGCTCATTTCAAAATATATAATAATAAAAAAATCTAACCTGTAACAAGTTCTCTGATTTCCAGATCTGTAGTCTTCCGAAGCAATCGTACCAATGCTGGAATACCTCCACAATTTTTTAGGGCAATTTTGTTATCATCATTGGCTTTGCCATATACTAAGTTCCTCAAAGCTCCACAAGCACTACGGTGAACTTCAGTCATTCGATGATCTAGCAGATCTACCAATAACTGAATACCTCCTTGTCTTCTTATCTGAAAAATAAAATATGCATAATATATATTTTAAAAAATGTGTTGGATTATGTGCAGAAGTGCTGATATATGTTTTATTTACATTTGGAAAACACTATACTTTAAATGAGCACAAGTTAAGAATGACAGTTTTAGCATGCTCAAAATATAACAGACAAGCGGGCTAGAATATTTCTCCACAACCTTTTGTGACCATGCTAAATACTATTAAAATACAGCATTACAAACATCCTTTTGTTTATATAATTCTGGGGGCTTTACAAATTTGTGTTGATATGCTGACTTGCAATAATGTGTATTTACATTTATTCTGCTCGTTAATTAGTTAGAATGCCAAAATGTTGTGCAAAATATAGAATGAACAGAAACACCTATTTACAGAACTACACGTTGTTGACAGGGTTTCATACTATCTATTACTGCACATATAAATACACTATGAAAAGTTGTGATGTCACAAATGGGTTGGAGATTAAGAAAAGTTAACTTGTATTTATTTATCTGTATATGACTGACTGCCTCTCTGCTGTTTCTAACTGGATGGCTGCCCACTTCCTTAAACAAAATTTGACCAAAACTGTAATTCTGGTCTTTCCTCCCTCAAGTGTTGTTACTCCAGTGTCTGTCTCCCTCCAAGTCAATGGTGCTACCATCAGCTCCACCACGCAGGCTCGCTGCCTAGGTGTTCTCTTTGACTCCGACCTCTCCTTCAAGCCTCATGTTCAATCTATCGCCAAATCCTGTCATTTCCATCTCAAAAACATTGCGCGCATCCGCCCCTACTTAATGCCAGATGCGACTAAGGTGTTGGTCCATTCCACTGTCCTTTCTCGCCTTGACTACTGTAGTCCGCTTATCAGTGGTCTTACGTGCTCCCAACTTGCGCCGTTACAGTCCATAATGAATGCGGCGACGAGGCTCATCTTCCTGTCCGCCCTCACCTCCCATGCCTCACCCTCCTGTCAGTCCCTACATTGGCTTCCTATGAAATATAGAGCTCAATTTAAAATTCTGGTTCTTGCTTCCAAATCTCTACATAATGCTGCTCCCACCTATCTATCCTCCCTTATACACAAGTATGTCCCGTCTAGGCCCTTACGATCTGCTGAAGACTTACGTCTATCTTCTGTCCGTACTCCCACCTCTGATGCTCGCCTTCAAGATTTCTCGAGGGCTGCACCGTTCCTGTGGAACTTGCTTCCCTCCTCCGTTAGATGCTCACCCAGTCTCCACTCCTTCAAAAAATCGTTAAAAACCCACTTCTTCATAAAAGCGTATCAATTAAACTGTTAATAGCTCCTGACTGATTCCTCTTCTGCAACTGTCACTAGTCTAATACTATCCTTACCTTTTTGTGTCATTTTACCCCACTCCCTCTAGCATGTAAGCTCATTGAGCAGGGCCCTCAACCCCTCTGTTCCTGTGTGTCCAACTTGTCTGGTTACAACTACATGTCTGTTCATCCACCCATTGTAAAGCGCTGTGGAATTTGACGGCGCTCTATAAATATCATAATAATAATAATAATAATTTCTTTAAAATTCTTTTAGTAGCACTTTTGTGATCTTTGTTTAAACTATAAACATTAAAGTTAAATGCTTCTTGTTTTCGTGGATACATATATATATATATTATTATTATTATTTTTATCCCCATGTATGATGGGCAGATAATGATTTTACTGTTTTCTGCGTTCTCGCATATATATATATATATATATATATATATAGCAGACTAACAATAAATAAATGGTAAGAAATATCCATATGTAAACAATTTGAAGAAACACATTTTATAACACCTTAATATATAAATATATTTTACAAAAAACATATAACGAGAAAACATGATTTTATTATTTACATAGGTCTAATAATCTGTAGCCTTATTTATACAAAGGCAGCTGTAGAGATTGATGGATATGAATTATTTTAGACTATTTAAACTGTTATGACTTCATACATTTTATATAAAAAAAATATATAGAGAGAGATATTTTTGGGGGGTTCCAATAATGATGAACACATTTTATGTCACACATTGATGCAGAGAAATTAAATTAAATGACAGATACAAATAGAGAAAGAAATAGGAGGGGTTGAGAGAACCAGTAACAAAGGAATGGGAAATTATACATGTGTTGAGAAATAGTAATAGAGTGTGTGTGGAGGGGGATTATAACTGTATGTTGAGTAATTCAGTATGATATAGTAGGAAGAAGAATGTTTTAGATATAAATATAGTAAAACTTGAAAGGTAGCTATAGTCCTATTGTATAATTGTAATCGATATGTGAAATATATGTGTAAGAATGTACCTATAATTCTGTTTTTTACACATGTAACACTGTATTTGTATGCACGCCCCAGATTTAATTAGAAATATAACTAATCCCAGTATACCATTCCTTGTAAAATAAATAATGAATACTCTATGTGCATTTGTGTGGCATTCAGAAAGTGTTGGTGTAATAGTTTCACAAACCTCTAAGTATACCACTATGTAAGTACAAGAATACAGATGTGAGTGCTGCGGCCTGACCATTATGCAAGCTGAGTTTTTGAAGTTCTCCTCTACCATATCTGAAATGCATTGCCATTGCGGCTTTACACGTTTGGTTTTGTAGAGTGATTGCATTAGAGAACATTTTGGAGATTAGTTTAAAAGTCCAGGAGAAAAAATGTGTTCCTCTTCTCCCACTCGGATTTTGCAAAAACTCAGCCAAAACTAGACAGAGAGCTTGGCCCTATTGCATATAACATGTGAACTTTAAGATGCAACATGGCAGGAGCTCCCTGTTCATGTTTATATATTTATATGGAAATTGACAATGCTTGATGATAATTTCCTGCAAAGACTCAAGTGGTGCTGGGAAGCTCAGAGTCTTGCTTCTTGCACAGGCTCAAGAGACACTCACTTGAGATATACAGCTCTCAAGCACTTGAATGCCGCACTGAAGATTGCCACTGTGCAGGGAGAGCAAGGACCCTAAAATCTTTGTGTCTGAAAAAGGAAAGAAGCCCCTTAAGTGTCAAGAGGGCAATGTTTCCCTATTCAATTTCATGTTTTGTTTGTTTTTTAACTATGTTACCTTTAAATTTAGGAGTTAAATCACTTTGTTTATGCAGCACTAGCCTCACCTTCCCTGGCTGTGAGTCACACAGCATCCATAAACAAATGGTTCAATTTTCAATCAGATCTTACAGTACATTGTGTTTAGTCTAGTAGTGTCTGTCTCCTGCTCTGATAATGAAACTTTAATCACATGCAGGAGGCTGTTGCAGGCTATTAAGAGTGTAGAAGAAGAGATATATCTAAATTAAAAACACTGTGCAACAAGGGAAGCTAAAACTATTTAGGTATTTTTTCAGAAAATGTATAGGGGACTGCAGTAGTTTACAATGATATTTCTGGTCTTTTAGCATTTAATGAAAGATTGTCTGCCCTGGGGGTCTTTTGAACCTGCTCTCTGGTTCTGTTTGGAGAAATCTGGGGAACCGCAGTGTCCCACAGATGCTGGAGAACTGAGATAATTGTTTTAGAAGCCCTCACCAAGAATCCTTCAATAACAAGGATAACAATATTCTTAAAGAGATGGCAAAAATTAAAAGGTACTTTCCGAGACTGTCCACTTTGTCAAAAAGCTATAAATGGTTTAAACATGGAAAACTGTAACATTCAGAGTTAGGCATCTGTGGCTCTCTTTTTGTCTTATTACCTGGCTCTGATATCCCAATGTGACAAATTGCAATGCTGTTGCAGTGTGGCTATTCCATACATGTTCTAATGTTAGATGCTTCCCATTACCAGCCACTTATAGTCCACAGTTTTCACAGACATGTAGCCTACTATGCAGGGCCGGTGCAAGGACTTTTGCCGCCCTAGGCAAAAGTAAAGTTTGCCGCCCCCCCCATATGACATCACAATGCCCCATGTTAACTAACGCAAGTGCTGCAGTGCCGCCGTGTTTACATTAAAAGGCCTGCAAGGACAGGCTATAGGCACCAGAACCACTACATTAAGCTGCAGTGGTTCTGGGGACTATGGTGTTTCTTTAATGTGAGGTAAATTAGAGATTAGTTCCACGAATAATATACTAGATTGCCTACTTACAACCAGATGAGGATGGTGATGGGCTCTAGCTGCAGTCTGGCTCTCTCGTCTGGTGTAGAACAGGCTCTCTGGAGGCTGTTTGTGTTCTGGGAGAACGGGAAGCAGCTCCATTTTTTTAAGGCCCTTTACACAGCTCAAGGTCTGGGCCCCAGGGTCCACCTTCATGTTCTAGTTTGTTCACAGGAGTAGGGGATGTCCTGATATGTGTGTAAGGAATGCATTGTGTGAACCTGTGTTTGTATGTGTAAGGGCTGCAATGTGTGTTTCTATGTATGTACGGGATGCAGTGTGTGCATCTGTAAGGGGTGCATTGAGTGTATGTAAGGGGTGCATTGAGTGTGTGTAAGGAATGCATTGTGTGTTTCTGTGTGTGTAAGGGATGCATTGTGTGTAAGGGTTGAATTGCTTGTGTGTGTGTGTTTTTCTGTGTGCAAGGGGTGCATTGTGTGTGTGTGATGGATGTCAATCTCTCCCCCCTCCCTTGTCACTCTCTTCTCCCCCTCTCCCTCCCTCGTCACTCTCTTCTCCCCCCTCCCTTGTCACTCTCTTCTCCCTTGCGTGTCCCTCTCTTCTCCCTTGCGTGTCCCTCTCTTCTCCCCCCCTCCCTTGTCACTCTCGTCTCCCCCGTTGTAACTCTCTTCTCCCCTCCCCACTCTCATTCCCCCTCCTAACCCCGTCAATTCCCCTCCCTGTCAATTTCTTCCCCCACCTTGTCAATTTATTTTCCCCCCTTTCAATTTATTCACCCCACCCTGCCTGTCCATTTATTCCCCCACCCTGCCTGTCCATTTATCCCCCCTCTCCCTGTCCATTTATTTCCCCTTCCTCTCCATTTATCCCCCCTCCCTCCATTCCCCTCCCCACATTTTATTCCCCAGTACATTTATTC